CGCTGTGAGGTCTAAGTGAGCCAATGGTTACAGAACACACAGCACAGTTGCGGAGCTCTTACTATTACTATTAATAATGAGATGAAATTCTTCATCAGCAAAATGAGAATAATAAACTGGAATTACATTATATGTGCTTAACTGTACAAGGTCAATGACCATCTTGATACACAAGCCAGAGAGGTAGGAAGAAAGGAGGGAAGGAGGGAGGAAGAGAGGAAACTGATTTTCAAACAGCTGGTCACTAACAGCTGGTCACTAAACACAGTGGTAACTTCAGTGACTGGTTCCAACACGGACCATGCCAGATGTGCTGAAAAGAGGAACAGTATCCACAAAGCCACTTGCACCAGGTGTCGTGGCTAGGGAAAGTCAGGGGCTCCCGGGGTAATGTGCTTGTGTAGGACTCATCACTTCATTTGCAGACCTAGAACCTGACCCAGCCTGGATGTGCGGGCTGTGAGGACGAGGATGGTGAGTGGAAGCACTGAACTTCGCCCCGCACACAGGGGGTGCTCAGCAAACCTGAGCCGGCGGTAGTGATGGCTGTAGTTGTTGCTATGCTATTGGCATGTTGTTAGCATGCTATTGGCATGACTCTCTTCTCCCATTGGACTGGAGGCCTGGGGTGGCCCCAAGCTTCTGGATTGACCCCTCGCTCTAGGCTTCCATGGTGTCTGTCCCACCCTCCTCTGCTGTCCTCCCTCTTTTCCAACCTGTGCATGTGTGTCCTCTGTAGGGGGCACCCCTGGGTTTGGAGCCCCCTTACCTGGCAGGCTGCCCTATCCCCGTGAACACCCTCTTAGTCTATCATCACAGTTCCGAGGCCCGATCTGCACAGCCCAGGCCCTGGATGAGCACCTGGCTGCTGGCATCCGACGTGACCGACAAAAGAGCCGGATCAATTACCCTGACGACTCGGGCGAGCCTGGATTGACACGCCTTCTCAGGGGACGGGCTGCGGCACAGAGGGTCAGGGGCGTGTGTGTTGTCCAGATCCCGGGGTGGGAGCCGGTGTGTGGCTCCCCGTGGTGGCGGGGAGAGCCGGGAGGTAATAAAAGATAGATGGAAATGGACATCCAATTTCCCTTATCGGGCTTCTGAGCAAGAGAGGCCTTGGGCGACATTAATTAACAGATACCAATCAGCCAGCCCATGAGGGTGTGTGTACGTAGGGAAGCGGGGACGGCACTGGGGTGGGGGCATCTGAAAGCAGACAGAATGGGAGGAAAGAGGTAGGAGGTGGATGGGGAGAAATTAATAGACAGTTGAATTGGAAGGTGGCAGAGAGGGAGGGTGAGGAAATGAAGGAGAAAAGTCCCCTGTGAGGGTAATCACGCAGGTGCGATCACTAGAAGAATGTGAATAGCATGCTTCTGCCCCTTCATTCATCCAACAAGCATTTATTGAACACCTACTAAGTGCTAAGTGCCAGACCCTAGTGACAGGATGGCCAGCTCAAACCGGAACTGGTACTGGCCCAGCCTTCAAGAGCTCTCAGTGAAGAGGGAAGGACACCCCAAGTACCACATGTCACCATGGAGTCACGACAATAAGAGCTATGAGGAGATGGAGGGCTATGAGAACACACAATGGGGGTGTGGCCCAAGTGAGAGCCTGGGAGGCTTCCCGGAAGAGGAGACTTTGGGGCTGATCCCTGAAGGTGACGAGGAGCTCTGACAGCACACACCTCGGTGTCTGTGTGCCCCGTGCCCTGAGCTTCCTGTCATCTTCCCACCCCCACTGCCAAGCTCCCATCCTGGTGCCAAGAAGGTGCCCAACAAGTGTTCAGGTCGGAGGAGAGAACGGACAAAGACCACTGGGCCTTGACTCCCAGATGATAAGAAATGGTGCCCAAAGGACTGGGTCAGCCCCTCCTCGCCCTTCAGAGCGAGTGTGGATGTAGCTGCCTTTGAGTCAGACAGGCCTGCCCTGTTGGGAGAGAGACAGCTCCTGGGAGAGTTGTGTGCCACCTTCGGAGGATATGCCCCGAGGCCCATGCCCAGACCGCCCTGCTCGTCTGATCTGAGTGAACTCGGTCCCTGACTTCTCCCTTCCTCCATGAGTGTCTTCAAAAGGAGCTGGGAATAGCTTTGAAAATCCAAATGCCAAGTGCCAGGCACGCACATGGGCTTTTGTGCAAGGAAGGGGGAAATATTTGACCTTTTCTAATGTTTGAGAAAAGAAACACTCTGAGGGAAAATGAGAAATAAAAACTGTTACCTCGAAGAGGAAGGAGGAGGGGACAGGGAGGGAGACGGGAGTTCTGTGAATACATTTTTGCCTATTTGGGGCTTTTGAACCCGTCCATGTTTAAGGTGTCCAAGGATAAAATTAAATCAAGTGCAGAATGAAAGGTACGCTCCCTCCAACCCAGCGATTCCACAGCTGGGAATTCCTCCCAGAGAGAAAAGCATGCTGAGACACACCAGCTACACGTGCAGAGGTGTTTGCTGGCTGCGTCTGAAATGGCCCAAAGCAGTAAACAACCCAGAAGTGACCCATGTAATACATACAATTATTATACAAATGCCCTTATTAGTTAAATGAATGGCACGCTAGAAGCCACTAACAGTGGTTCTCAACCTGTGGGTCGTGACCCCTTTGGGGATCGAACGACCCTTTCACATGGGTCGCCTAAATACATCCTGCATATCAGATATTTACATTATGATTCATAACAGTAGCAAAATTACAGTTATGAAGTAGCAACGAAAATAATTTTATGGTTGGGGGTCACCACAACATGAGGAACTGTACTAAAGGGTTGTGGCATTAGGAAGGTTGAGAACCACTGCTCTAGAAGAATGAGGTAGAATGTGTGTGGGTGTGGAAGAAACTCAAGAGCATAAGGGAGGGAGTAAGGGTGAAGGGCAGAGACCAGGGCCGGGCCCTGTATTAAAATCCCGGCTTTGCTGACCACTGGCTGTCTAGCTCTCTGTGCCACAGTTTCTTCATTAGTAAACCAGGAATAAGAACAGTCCTGGCCTCAGGGGTTGTTTGAGTTAAATGAGCTAAGGTGCAGAACATTTAGAACACTCTTAGCACATGGCAGGTGCTATACTATTGTATATAATTAAATGGAAGAAGCAGGTACAGCAAATTATAGTATGATCCACGGAGGGGAGGAGAACACGTGTGAGTGAGCACATACACACACACACACACACACACACACACACCCGCATGCGCAGTGGGGGGGTGTAGGTGGGTGGGTGTTCGGGTACAGGAAACTCCCAGAGGGATGCATTTGGAACTCCACCCCTCTGTCACATCCACAACTTTGCCAGAAGCACATATTCCTTCTTTTTTTTTTTTTTTTTTTTTAAATATATTTTATTGATTTTCTACAGAGAGGAAAGGAGAGAGATAGTTAGAAACATCGATGAGAGAGAAACATCGACCAGCCGCCTCCTGCACACTGGGGATGTGCCCACAACCAAGGCACATGCCCCCGACCGGAACCGAACCCGGGACCCTTCAGTCCGCAGGCCGACGCTCTATCCACTGAGCCGAAAGGGAGCTGAGCCATTCCTCCCTGCCCTTCAGCAAAGCACCTCCACTTCTGCTTTTCTGCCTGGGCTCCTCTGCTCCATCAAGTAATTAGCAATTCTGGGGCTCAGGGGGCCTCTGGAGAGGCTGGGTGTGGCTGTGCCCCAGGAGTGCAGGCGTCCCTGTGCCTGGCTGACCCGGAGGGCACTGGCCCCTTCGGGTTCTGCCCCAGTCGGCTGCCCCTGGGCCCGCCCTCCTGGGGTCTCCCACCTTGAGCTCTGCTGCCCACAGAAAGTTGCTTTATCTGCACCAACTGATCTAATAACAATGTCAGGCTCTCCCCCAGCCCCCAGTGACTTGACAGCAGGAGCTCCTAGAATTTAAAAAAAAGAGAGAGAGGGAGAGAGAGAGAGCACATAATTTGTGGCAAGTGGAGTTCATAATCTGTTAATTTATTATCGTTTCTGTCGACCTGGAGGGCCATTAGCAGAGGTAATAAAGGGAGATGTAATTATAGGCTCTGAGGCCACTCCAGACACAGCTGCTGTCACTCGGCAGCCCATATTTCATCGGCCTTCGGCATTCTGCTCTCAGTGCGGCCAGACGGTGGCTACCTGGGAGCAGAGCCGCTGAGGGGCCCTCTGTGGGGCCGCCTCTGGGGTCCCCTGCAGAGGCCACCACTTGTCAGCGGGCAGGGCCCTGGGGACTCCCCGGGGGCTGGCAGGAGAAAGTTCCGGCTGGGGCAGCCTGGAGGCTGCCTGAACCGGGAGAACCAGCTAATCCCACCTGGAGGCTGCAATTCCTCAAGTGGTGCCCACGGGCTGTGAAAGGCCAGGGCTCTGGTTCTACCCTCTTGCTCACAGGGAATAAGAGGCGGACACTCTGAAGGCTTGGGCTTGTCCCCTGGGCAGCCCAGCACTTGGAAAATCAACCTCTGGGGGAGGGAGACTTCGGTCTGACTCACTCACACAAAAGGGCGGCTGTTACTCTGAGCAAATCCCAATCAGGCAGGAGTTCCCCAGGGCTCACCCTGTGTGTTCAACGCCCTGGTAATTGCGGGGGGAGGGGGGCGGGGGGGGGGTGCTGAGACCGCTCACAGCATCTCATGCCCTTGGGGACTTTTCCTCCGTGGCCTCTGCCCAATCAAGTCTGAAGGGCTAACTTTGGTTCAGTGGCTAGAGCTTTGGCCTATCGACCGAAGGGTTCTGGGTTCGATTCCAGTTGAGGGCATGTACCTTGATTGCGGATTTGATCCCTGGTGGGAGATGTGTAGCGGGCAGCCGATTGATGATTCTTTCTCATCATTGATGCTTCTCTCCCTCTCTCCTTCTCCTGTCCTCTCTGAAATCAATATAAAAAAAGCATATTCACTAAGAAAGAAAAAAAGAAAGGAAGGAAGAAAGAAAGAAAGAAAACCAAAAAGAGAGGAAGGATGCAGGCCCGAGCCCACCTGGGTTGTGTCTGCTCCTCTCCATCTTGGTTCCTGGAGAGGCCGGACTGGCTCCTTACTCAGGAATAGAGCGTTGAAGAGGAGCCAGAGCCTCTGTCCTTACAAAGGGAACCACATCTCATGCCTCGGTATCCTCTGGCCTCCAGCCCAGAGCCCAGCACCCACAGGGTGCTTCCTAGCTGCCTTTGCATGCATTTATTGAGCACTGACTGTATGTAGTAAGATCTCTGCTAGGAGCTGTGGCTGATACAAAGAATTAGATTAATTCCTGTCCCAAGGATCTCATTTGGGAATAAGATGGATAATTTTTGTTGTTTGTTTTGTTAGTCCTCAACCAATGACATTTTTCTATTGATTCTTTAGAGAGAGTGGAAGGGAGGAAGGGGGAAAGAGGGAGAGGGAAAGGGAAAGGGAGAGGGAGAGGGAGAGGGAGAGGGGGAGAGAGAAAAAAAAATCGATGTGAGAGAGACATCAATTGGTTGCCTCCTGCATGTGCCCTGACTGGACCAGGGATTGAGCCTGCAACCAAGGTGCATGCCCTTGACCATAATTGAACCTGGGACCCTTCAGTGGATGGGCCAAAGGATGCAGATCTTTAAATGTATCAGGCACTTGATGTGTCATCGCCCTTAATATGAGGTTTACATGCAGTGGCAGGAGCTCTATTAATTAATTTTGCCTTACTAGTAAACACTAGAAGGTCAGGCCCAAATAATTCAGCATGCAGATTTATGCAAAATAGGCAAATTAGCGTTTGAGGCAGACAAGTGAGCCCCTGTATTTATTTTATTTTTTAATCAAAAAGAGTTCAGCTGTGGACAAAGAGAAATGATGCGAAAGGGGGCTTTTAACACTATCCACAATAATGTGCTAGCAACAATGGTCATGGTCTCTGCTGTGTGCGGGCCTGGGCCAAGTGTGCCCTATCGTCCTAGCACCTGGGAAAGGGGCTCTATCCTGAGTCCCAGTTCCCAGGAGAGTAAA